CAACGTTGCCGAGCGAACCATCCAGCGTGTGTGGGCACAAGCCCAAGCAAATCGTTCGTTCAAGTCACCTCCGTCGCGAATGCGCAGCCAGCCGATGTCTTGTTGCTACAAGAACGGGTGTCAAAGCTCTCCCCAACAAAGAAGATGAATCTACGCACCATGTCGGAAGCGCTTCACGTTCCGAAGTCGACGCTGCACGATGCATTTGTTGCTGGTGTACTCATTCGCAAGCACGCGTCGTTAAAACCCATGCTGACCGACTCCAACAAGGAAGCACGCAAACGTTACGCGCTCTCGTTCACCCACGTAGTCGACGGCACGATCACGTTTGATTCGATGATGGATCGCGTCTTCTTGGACGAGAAGTGGTTCAATCTTCGACAGGTAAAGAACAAGTACTTTTTGGCGCCATGGGAAGACGCACCGCACCAATCGACGAAGAACAAACGCTACATCCCCAGCGTGATGTTTCTGACGGCCATTGCGAGGCCGCGGATGGTTGACGGCGTGTACTTCGACGGCAAGTTGGGCATCTGGCCGTTCGTTGAGGTCGTCGTAGCCCAACGTCGCAGCCACCGACGAGAAGCGGGCACGTTGGAGACGAAGTCGGTCACCGTCACGAAGCCTACGTACAAGAAGATGCTTGTTGATCAAACGTTTCCTGCCATTGTTGACAAGTTTCCTCACAACGTACAAAAGATCGTGGTCCAGCACGACAACACAACACCCCACGCTGTAACCATTGACCCCGGTGTCGTTGCCGCGACCGTGTCGAACGGTCGCCGCTTCGCCTTTGGCGAGCAGGCAGCAAACATCCCGGACTTGAGCATCCTTGACCTCGGCTTCTTCAACTCGATCCAAGCGCTACAACAGAAGATGCCTGCTTACACAGTGGACGATTTGATCAGAAACGTGGAGAATGCGTTTACGAAAGTACCCGCGGTGTCGTTGGACGTCGTGTTTTACGCGTTGCAGTCTGTCATGGAGTGCATCTTGGAGACTGGTGGAAGCAAAAAGTACAAGATGCAGCACATTGGCAAAGAAGCCAAGCGTCGACGCGGTGAGCTGGAAGAGTCGTTGACAAGTTCTGCTGACACGTACCTTGCTGCTCGGCCTGCCGACCTTTGACATTGTGATCCAAGGATAATTATGACCAATACAACTGTTTGAGTTTCACTTTTAACCAATAATGTGAAATCACGACAATTAAAACAGGAAATATGAATCACGACAATTGAAGTCGGACAGAAGTAGCACATTTTTTCGTTTCTTTTCAGTGTTAATAATGAAATACAAATCATAAAACGACAGAATCTTTTGTGCTTTTTCAGTGAAATTTGGACTTCTGAGTCGATTTGCTGAATCGATTCGCCTCCAAATATACTTCAAGAAGTATACCATACAAAACTGAATACAGTCCGTCAAGAAATTATAGACGCACCCCAAAAATTTCCACCTCTGAACTACCTGCGGGGATTGGAGTTGGAACCACTTTGCAGTTCAGGTTGTTATCCTCTCAAACGGCGTGGCCCTAAAGAATTTGGAATGAAACGTTGTCGTTCAAGAGCAAAGTGCATTTTTCGAAAAAACGGCTGTCAAGAAATTATAGACGCACTCCATAATTGGTACAAAAAAGTCATCTTTTAAGCCAATAAAAGCACGTTTTGGTGTGCAGGATTGTTACGAAGGCCATCGAACGACACCCTGGCCACGTCAGTGCAAAAATTGACACTGGGATCATGCCTCGGGGCAAATGCATCACCGAACATGAGAAAGGCCAAATTTTGGCCTTTCGCCAGCTCCAAAAGAGCTGTCGTTGGATTGCTAAGGCAATTAATCGAAGCGACAAGCTTGTACGCACATTCCTATGCAACCACGACCAGGCCAGCCCCAAAAAACGGCCAGGAAGACGCTGTGTCCTCACCCGCCGCGAGATCCGACGCATTTTCCGGCTAGCTACGCGCAAGCAAATGTCAACTAGGCAAATTTCTGCTGCACTAGAAGGTAAAGT